GTAAAACTAACTTGACTGCATCCTGTTCGTTTTCTGCCAAACTGCTATCACTATCTTTTTCTATAAAATTTCTTTTGTGTGGCATGTTTAAATATTCAATTTTCATTTTAGAATCATTTACATCTTCTGGTTTATTTGTCTATATATAAGTAACTTCCATCGAGGTTAATTCAGTGCTGGTTATGTTCTTGTAGTTATCAGTTTGATCTTTTGTATGTATTAAAGTAAATTCTATTGTAGTTGATTCAACTTTTTCTGATAGTTGTTCTATATTTATTTTCATAGCAGATATTTCTGTTTTCATGTTAGTACTACTACTTTGTAGCTTCCTGAGATCGATGTTCTCATCTATTAGGATTTTTTCCTTCTTTGTTAACTCTAGCTCTCTTGTTTCCTTATATTGGGCCCAATCGTAAATATGCAAAACGTTGCGGATAATAGCTATTAAGTGTTTATCATCTGTGCCTAGGTAGTTTGCCACTCTGCTATCTTTTTTGAGAGTAGTTGTACTTTGTTCGTTATAAAGATCTGATCTTTTCTCTTCACTTTTGTTAAAGAAGTTTTTGTATTTTTCCAGTGCCGGCATTTGGTATCTAATCGTTTGTTATTGTTTGTTTGTTTATTTGACGCGTGTATAATTGTGTTTTGTTTATTCTGAGTATTTGTTTATCTGTTTGTTTATTTATATGACTTATTGTTTATTTGTTTATTTGTTTACTTCTGTACGCGTCTATTTGTTTTGTTGCTTGGTGATTTGCAGTACAGGATGAAAGACGAATCCCCAAATTTTTCAAAAAATTTTCCAAAAATTTTGTTTTTTTCTTGTGATACTAGCTAAAGTTTGATAAGAGCCAAGCCATTCTATGAAGCTATAGTTGTTTTTCTCTGCTTGTTCTTTTTCTTTAAAGCTACAACTGATATTATTTTAGTATGATTGTGCTTAATTTCAAGTTTTTCTTTTGCTCCAGTTTGGTCGTAAGGATCAGCGAAAAGAGTTTTTTTTGTATATTAGATTACTATATCTTTTTTTTTGCTTTTTTTATCTTCATTCATTTATAATTGAATTAAATTTAGAACATACTTTTTTTTTTCTTGTTCTTGTTTTTTTCTTTTTTTTTTCTTTTTCTTTTATAAAATATGATATATACTTTTTTCTTTTATAAAAAGTAAAAAATAAACTATTCTGCCCAGACTTAGATGAAAAAAGTTTCAAAGAAGAATAGATAGTCTTGATAGACTAGTAGAAACCATCCAGTAATATTGTATCTCTTTTAGTACAAAAAGTGGTATTTTGAAGAAAAATCTTGCTTATAGCAAGTTGCATATAAGTAATTTGGACTTTGGTCACAAAAAGCCAGATGAGCTAATACTTGTAAATTAGGCATCAGAAGGATTAGCCTTCTGTAAACTGTAATATTTCCTAGTATAATATTATAAGATCTAATAAAATATAGGCAAAACTGCCAAAATTATTAAAAAAAAAAAAAAGCTTAAAATCAAAAATTTTGATTTAGATACTATATATATTTTAACTTTTTAGTTTTCTTTATTATAATTTTATATTGCTATTTGTATAATTTTTTTTATTCAATTGATTTTATTTGCTAGTTAATATACTATATTACTACTAATACTAAATATTTGCTTATTTGATATACTTGTAATAAGAATTGAAAGACAACTTCTAATGAATTTGCAAGATTAAAATAACTAATTTTACTTACTTATTACTATTCTAAAATATCTATATATTGATTTACAAGTGGTATTATTAAAAATATATTAAGAGTAGTGTATATATAGATCAATTTTCATATAATCTACATAATATATTAAATTTTTACATAGTAAACAAAAAAGTTCTTTTAATAAAACTTTTCAATATCTTAACTAATTTATATTAAATTTATATAATATATAGTTTAAAATAATTTGTTTATAATAATTTTTTTTTTTTTTCAGTGTTAAGATGACCTCTATGGCCGGGAGCTTTTTATTAGATAATTAACAACGTTTACAATTATGATAAGAGTACAACTAGCCACACGTACAACTTTTGGTTGTCTATTTTAAGTAGTCTACCTGAGTTTTACACTAGCCATCATGCCTGCAATCTAACTAGGAGATTATCTATTTAAGCTCTTTGACTTTTTACAAGTGAGAGTACGACTAGCCATACCTGCAACTTTTGGTTGCCTATTTAAGTA